CTGTCAGGGGGACAGGGGAACGGGGGGGGTTAGATGGGGCAGGAGTCCTGGGGGGGGGCCGTCAGGGGACAGGGAGCAGGGGGTGGATGGGGCAGGAGTCCCGGGGGAGGCCATTGGGGGGCAAGAAGCGGGGGTCGGATGGGGCTGGGGTCCAGGCCATGCCTGGCTGTTTGGGGAGGCACAGCCTCCCCTAACTGGCCCTCCATACAATTTTGGAAACAGGATGCAGCCCTCAAGCCAAAAAGTTTGCCCGCCCCTGTCTTAAATAATACACTACAACATGCATTATATAAAAAAGATACACTATTGATTTCATTCATTTACATATGTGTGTTATATCAAAATACTCTGCAGACATGTCAGATTTGGCCATCATAACTGTGGCCAAATATCAAAGTTAATAAACGTATCTGTTTTGGATTTGCGTCTCAAACTACAATTAGAGATGACCAGATGATGGAAGCATACGGCATGCTGTCATTCAGTGTGTTCAGTATAAAAATGAGAGATGCGCGCCAAGATCATTCAGTTCAGAGCAATACCATGCCAACAATTTTACTGATCATTTTCCAGTTTTTTGCTAGTGGAAAATTAATATTTTATTTAAAGATGTGCAACAGACAGTGATGAGATCTAAACAAAGATTCACATACTCTAAGCTAGAAGCCAAACAAAGAGGATTAAATGGCAATTTTGGCTGTGTGTAGTGAGGGTGACTTCTAGGCCATTTCTACAGCAGGAAAGGTCAGGCTAGTCTAAAAATGTGATCAAACAAAGCAAAGAGCCTAATGAAGAGTATGTAACAGATCAACCAGTTAGCGAGAGAACAAAATATTGGTTTATGATTAATTACAAAAATATTTTTAACCAGTTGGCAACTATCTACTGGTACCTCCTCAGCAGACTGGTCCTATTGTAGATACTGGAACTTATAGAGTTGGAGGTGGAAGGCAATTTGAATACAGGACTTTGATGTTTTGACAATTTGTGGTGGTCAAACCTACCAGGATAGGTGAACCACTGAATATCACAGCTCATTCTAGCCCCTATCTCAACCAGGAACTGACCCAGCACTGGGCCTGAGCCCTTTGAAATGATTAGGTAACTGTAATGTGCTAAGTGCTTAATTTGGGATATACATTGAGATCACTCATAAACTAAACCAATCGCAGAATGCAGTGGCTGGTTTACTATGCAGAGATTCTTATCAGGAGCACATTACAATTGTCCATGACCTGCACTCTTTGCAAACAGGCTTCTAGGGGGAATTCAAGGTGTTTGTTGTAAACCTGTAAAACCCTAAATAGTTGTATATTTTATGTATGTAAATAGAGCCCAAAGTGCTCCTCTGCAGCCTCAGAGGTGGGGGAGGAGGGCTTTGCCTGGGGAAAAAAAAGCCTTTTCTCCTTTAAGGATTGCTGCATCCCCTCCCTTTCTCATGGGCTTGAGGAGAGGAGGAGGATGGCACTCTGTGGCTGTTTGGTAGGACAGAAGAGTGCAACATAAGCCTATTTACTCCCACATACTGAGTGGGGAGGTCTTATAAGCCCTTCTGCCTGGTCAAGGGTGCCATTCTGTTCTAGGAAGAAAAGCTTCCCCCTCCTTCCCCTCTTGAAATTAGAGTAGGATCCAGTGTGGCAGCCTTGCTGTGGGTATTATGCTGATCACCTTTATGGGGCTAGGAAGGAATTTTGCCCTCAGTGCCAAACTGGCCTGGGAGGGGTAGGTTTTTTAACCTTCCTCTCAGCAGTGCAGGGAGCCGATGGGGTAGGTTCACTTGTAAAACTCATTTTGGCACAACTGGCAAAACTTGGCAGGTGCCCAGTTCAGGTCGTTCAGTAAGGGGTCTGTTTCCTTGATCAACTGGAATTGGAAGTGGATTCGGAGAAGGTATCCCCTAAAGAAGGTGGGAAATGGGGCAGGGGTCCTAATGTCTGGTACAGTGAGGAGACAACCCCATCTTCTCCACCCTCTTATCCCTTGTACAAGGGGAGGGTGATGGGGAGCCTGAAATGGTGCTGGGACCAATTTATTGGAGTGGGGAGGATGATGGCAGCCATTCAGATTGCAATAGGAGGGATGACCTGCACTGAATGAGTTATTGCCCAATAGTTCTCAGATGTATTGTTTAATAAAGCTGTGCCCTTGCTAAACCACATTTCTGGTGTCTTGTCTTTCTGCCTGCATTGCCCAGGACAACATAGCATAGGTACCTATCGGGGCTTTTATAAACCTAAATAAATATAACTCTGACCTAAAGCCACCACTGCATCTCAGAAATCCGTCCGAAAGTCTGTAACCATGTTAATCAATCCCTTTGAACTGGCCACTGAGTGTTGTTTGACTGGCTACCCAGGAACAATACACATTTGCTGAATCCATGTCTCCACCATCACATCATGTTTGCATGCACTCCAGCTTGCCACATTTTTTTTTTACTTCAAGTAAAAAAGGCAGGCAGTATCAGCCAGCACTGAAATAAGAGATATAGTTATGCTGCTAAACCATTGAATGCATTTCAATAAAAAAAATTTCTTTACTGGCAAAAAAAAACAAAAACAAAAAAAAACCAAAAGTACACAAGCAACTACAACCCTACCGTACTGTACACAATAAAAACAAAAAGTTATATAATGTATTATCCGAACACTCTTCTTTCTCTCTCATCATAGGTATGATTTAATTGCAGGCATGTCAACTTTGTTGTGAAGGTAACAAAGAACTAGCTTTTTTTAAATTGTTGCTCTCTAATAAATCATTAATTTGTTAATTCCATACCAAACATGCAGTTAATTAATGGATTGAATAACTAAAAAAATTAAGTATAGCTGCAGATCTATCTTCAATGAAATAGGATTGTGGTTCTGAAATTATGTGTCTTTAAAGTTAATAACAAAACACTTAGATTTTATTGGTTACGGGGAGGAGATTTTGTAGTCTGTTCAGAAAGTTTTATTGCTACTTGTAAATTAACTTTCTCCTGAAAATAGATATTAGGTTTATAAATTGGTGTGTGTTATGTAAGGGAGTAATATGTTGTGCCACTTAGAAATATTTAAATATATTTATTTCATACACACACACACACACACACACACATATATATATTTAAAAACTTATCATTAAGTGCTTGTAAGAGTGACTATTGAAAACAATCAATATAATGTATGTCCAAGGCAGCAAGTATATCAAAAATTAATTTTCAAAGCCTCAAAAATTTCCTCCTAATTACTTTTTAATGAATTTTAAACAAACAATCAAAATCAGGTATTCTCTGCAACTGAAGCAGCATAGCAGAACTGAAAAAAAGCATAATTTACTTACAGTTTTAAGTGGATGTTCTAAGACATTTGTTTACATTCTAAAAGTAGACTGGACTGTGAGTTTATAGGGCTTATTTGTATCATCTTGTTAAAATACAAGTATATTTCAGCTTGCTTCTCTTTAGTTAAGACTAGTACTCACCTACAAAGGTAAGCAGGAACACCAATAGGAGGATGAGAGCACAGATGCATGGAATCAGTATTAGTAGCAAAAGTCGAAGGTATTTGGCAGAAGCCAGCTTCTGAGAGCAACCATCCCCCATATTATCTTCATCTGTTCCTAAGACCTGAAACACAGAAGAGTGCAGTTTTATCATTCTGATGTAACTCAGTAACTCCAATGAGTTTATATTTCAAAACTACTGTTATCTGATACACATAACAGCAGAAATATATGCCATAAATATCTTTAGGTCATGAATGAAAGGTAATATAAAAATTTTAACTGGCCTGTCAACAAATAAGCAGTACACATAAGTTACATGTTTAGCTCATCCTTCAATGTGTCAGACTGCATCCACCACTAGCATTTCAGAAACTTGTTTGCTGAACTTTTTAAATGGCTAGGCTGAGTGAAAGTCATTGCGTTTTGAGAGACATAAAATACATATGAAATTTTAAACAATAGGGGCTAAATTCTGCCCACCTTACCCAGATGTGTAGAAAGTAGTCCATTTAAAAAACAGTTATTAATGACTGCATAATTGACTTTATCTTTTCAAGGATATATTATTAAGGAATCTGTCAGTCTATTATAAATCCTGTTTTAAATAATAATACTCAGCTCTTAAGCACCATGATGCTTTTTCATCTTCAACACACTTTACAAACTGTAACTTATTTTTCCTCACAGCACATTCTGAAGCTGATAAATATTATTTCCACTTTACAAATGGGGACATGAAGGGCTAGGGAGCTTACGTTGAATTTTCTGAACTCGGTGGAACTACTCAATGTGCATAAAGTTAAACATGTGCAAAAGTCTTTGAAGGATCAAGTTTCAGAATGCATGATGTACACAGAAAAAAGTCCTTATATGCCAGAACTGTATTCAGGCCTATGCTTCAATCTACTAGAAAAATACTGTCCATTTTAAACAGAGACGAAACAAAATTATGAACATATGTTTAACAGGAAGAGTGGATTTGTTGTCATTCAATTTTTGTAAAAGTACATACACAATCCCGGTTTTAAAAAATTTTAAAGTCTACATTGGTTTTTACTTGAAAGACTCTAGGGTGAACAATATGCATTTGATAAGGTCATAGGATGGTGAAGTTATTAATTTCAGACTGCATCTCCCCTAAATCTGACTTATCAGTTGAGTGACATGAACAATTATCTAAGTTCTTTGTCAGGAAAATCAGTCATACTGAAGTTTGTCCCTTTTGCACTAGATAGAGGGAGATAGTGACAGGATACAAGAGTACAAATACACCCATTACCATGACAGCATCTTACCCCAAACACATGAAAAGGGACTTTGGGAAGCTAAAATCCATAACCTATGGCTGGGATCTTTGCCCACAATATAAATGCCAATGGTTAAGTGTTCTCCCACTGGTAGTTTCTGTTATAAATGTCTTTTTGTGGAGAACAGATTGTCTGACATAAACTGAAGTTTGACTGCTGACTTAAGAAACTGTTTCTTAACACAGAGGTCTTACTTATTTACCTCCTTGGCTTAGCCCTCCCTTTTATGGAGGTGGCCGAGAAGATTGTAGATGACAAGTATCTAGAATAGAATTCTTTGGCATCATCCCATCTGTCCGGTCCTAGAATGGCACAAACAATACTAGTGTGCAAGATGGATGCGAGACAACTCTCCATCCAGATAACATAGGAGCTGTCATCTGTTTTTGATACTATTGATTATGAGTTGCGGTTGACCCAACTGTATGGACAGGAGGAAATGACCAGGATTTCATTACTGTGATTCCATTTATTTCTTTTGAACATCATTGGGTAACGTTACTCATCTGCACTGAGAACCCTCCAGTATGGGATCCCACATAGATTTCTTGTGTCACTATTGCGTTCAATGTAAAGATAAAGTAACATTGAAAACTGATATGGCAGCACCATAGCCTGAGCTATTAGCAGTAACTCATGATACCCAAATATGCATTGCTACCTCTTCTTATCACAATTATTCAGTCTCAGCACAGTTGCATTGTCTGGCTCAGGTTGCAGGTCAAGCTACAGATGGAGGAGATATTGCTTTCATGACAAGGAGAGCATTTGAAGCTGTCCACTTTGGGGCCAGGGTACTGCTAGCTTTTGATATGGTTTTCGCGAGTGAGCTGACAGGACTCCCAACTTAGAGGCCACAACAAACTGATTATGGAAACCAATGTTTTATCAGTTGTCAGGAGTACTTTTTTAACCCTCAAAATATTCAGAAGTTGCAATCTTATTTCTCGACTAAGACCAGAACTCAGGCTTTTGTGACCTCTCAGCTAAATTACCGCAATGCACTCTTTAGGTTGTAGCTACTGCACGGTATGTACAAGATTCTTCACCAATGAGAGTCCATGAGCAGAACTTGCTGCCTAACGTTCAGCAAGTGCACTTCAAAGTTAATCATTTCAGTTTTTAGGTCCCAGGCAAAGCCAATTGAAATCATCCTGGTTAATAACCCTTGATGAATACCTATTCTCCATGAACGTATTTAGTTCTTTTTTGAACCCTGTTATAGTTTTGGCCTTCACAATATCATCCCCTGGCAAAGAGGAAATAGTATTCCAATAGTAATAAAATCCTTCACTGCAGGCTATTCCAGGAGATAAAGGACCTTCCCCGTATAGCTGACAATGGTGGGGACTATTGCCCAATCGCTAAAAATAACTGGCAGTCAGTGTAAATGCTGACTCATGGCAGTACCAAATGCTTGGCTTAAGAATAATGGAGATATGATATGAGATACCATAACAAAGTTTTGTAGTCATGTAAAGAACTGAGAAAACAGTCAGCAGTGTAGGACCATCAATTTCCTTTACTAATTTTCAATTTTCTTCCATGTGGGGAAAAGGAGATTTAACATTGGTCCTACATGAGATCTTAATTCTTTATTCTGTGCTGAGTGGCATATAATTGAGAATATGCAGCCACCATAGTAGAGTTGCCTGAAGAGTCATGTAAGGAGAGATCTAAAACATGTTATGACATACCTGTCTCGCCAGTGCAGACAGTGAACTTCCAAAAGCCCTTCACCATGTGTTCCTCAGTCTCTGTGAGAGACATTTTCCAAAGTGCTACTGACATAATTTATGTGAGCCATCTTATGCAAGAATCTGTGTACTAGAGATGTATCACATGAATCAGAAATATTTAAAAGCATGACCAGTAATGGTCAAAATGGTTATAAAGAAGATTTTACATGTTTTGGATTTAATAGTTTTTGTATCAATCTATCTATAGTCAATACATATTTTAGATATTTTCTTTACTACAATTCAGTTGCTAAATGCAACCAAAATAAATCCTAACTATTTCACTGACAATCTACTTTCACAGATGTTAATGTGATATTAAGGAATTATTAGATATAAATTTGCATCCAATGACTGCTCAGGAATGGAATGCTGAATTGTGGAAGAGATGATTTTATAAAAGACCCTTTCGCTAGCATAGTGATAACAGCAAAGCAAATATTTATAAAACAACTAAAAGGACTGTTCTGTTTTTCCTATTGCAGAAGGAGTTCTTATTACTCAAGCAGAAACACTAGACTAACTTAACATTACCATCAGTGAGTCATCAGAAATAAACTCAGCAAATTTGTTTTCTTTCAGTTGAGCATCTTTATGTTTTTTACTCACCCACATCTATGGAAAATGTGAAATAACTAGAGGTTGTTCTGATGGAGGGCCATTCTCTATCACAAATGAGAACTTAAGGGTATTGATTAAAAAGACTGGGCCTCTTCAGCTTGGAAAAGAGACAACTAAGAGGAGATATGAGAGGGCTATAAAATCATGAATGATGTGGAGAAAGTGAATAAGGAAATGTTATTTACTCCTCCACATAACACAAGAACCAGGGGTCACTCAATTAAATTAACAGGCAGCAGGTTTAAAAACAAACAAAAGGAAGTACTTCTTCACACAACACACAGTCAACCTGTGGAACTTATTAGCCGGGGATGGTGTGAAGGCCAAAACTATAACAGGGGTCAAAAAAGAATTAGATAAGTTCATGGAGGATAGGTCCATCAATGGTTATTAGCCAAGATGGCCAAGGATGCAACCCCATGTTCTGGGTATCCCTAACCTCTGACTGCCAAAAGCTGGGAGTGGATGACAGGGGATGGATCACACAATAATTGCATGTTCTATTCATTCCATCTGAAGCACCTGGCATTGGCCACCGTCGGAAGACAAGATACTGAGCTAGATGGAGCATTGGTCTGACCCAGTATGGCTGTTTTTATGTTCTTACGTCCTATAGAGCTAATTATAAAAGCATTCCACTTTCTATATTATAGAATCCCTGATGTCATTCTCTTCCCTGCCACCACCGAAACTTTGGTATGGGCTAGGAATTAGAATCATAGAATCAGAAGGTCAGAAGGAAATACAAGGGTCATCTAGTCTAACCCCATGCCAAGATGCAGGATTTGTTGTGTCTAAACCATCCAAGACAGATGGCTATCCAGCCTCCTTTTGAAAACCTCCAGCAAAAGAGCTTCCACGGCCTACCTAGGCAATCTAGTCAATTCATGCACCAAAGTTTGAGATAGTGTCCTAAAGTAATACTTTTGTCTACTTGATCCTCAAGAATAAATGCCACCCCATCACAACAGGGGAAAGGCAAACCCTGGAGTCCTGAGAGAAGGGGTCAAGGGAGGGGCAAGCTTGACTGCTCAGGGCCTTCCCACTCAGAATACACATGGAGATCCTGTCTTTAGCTAGGTTGAGGGAGGGAAAGAATTGATGGTCTTTCACACCATCCTCCCTTTATTTCTGTATGTGAAGCCTTCAGGGCATAAAGCAGCCATTCTGCTGCCATTGCTGCCTGCTACCCCATCCTTCCTGCCCTATAATGATGTATGATTTGAACTGTGTTTCTAGGCTGCGGTGGGTCTGATCAATAGTTTCTGAGAATCAAGAAGGAATGTTTCCTTCAGGGCAAAATTGACAAGGTGTCCAATGGTTTTCTTCACCTTCCTTGCACCATCCTGGAGGCCTGGCTTTAAATTAATAAGGAGTAAAGATGGGAGATTTAAAAGCTGTACATTTATAAGTGCATTAGTAATTTCTTTTCAATTTGTGGCAAGTGTCCACTG